AAATGGCTAAAAATATACTACTCATTGTTTTTTTAATGCCCTTGGAACATTGTGAAATATCATGTTTACCTGCATCTTTATCGACGGAATCTTTATTATTCAACCAAATCGAATCGAATCTAGCTGAATAGGCTAAATCAGGCCAACCCACTTGATTTTTTTTATTTTATTTTTCTTCTGTTCAAAGCAAAAAACACAAGCTTCAACCTCTTTGAAAGCAAAGTAAATTTAACAACATTGTTATAGATCGATGAATCAATGAGGGAGCCAACGTCCCTCAATTCTAGACGAGCAAGAGGCGAGGCTGGTGTGGCATTGGTGCATAATAAATACACTATGGACAAACACATAAACCATTGGTGCAAGGCCTTAGGCAAGATGAGATTTACAGATAACTAAGGTCAACTCAAACAAGAGGCTTAGTAGGTTAGACCACAGACAACTCGACCTGATAGGACATTCACATGGACCATTTGCAAGAAGTGAGTTGATCATATTCTTGGTTGGGTAAGTGTATTGACCACAATAGTCAAGAGTGGGCATTTGAACGTAGAACGTGTAACTGAATGTGTAGCCGGTACAAGCCATGTCAGAGTGGGTGTATGCACATGTAATGGACTAAATGTGAAATGAGTCATTCTAATGGACCATGCAGATTTGAATTGACATACATAGACAATTAAAGCTTATGCGGTGGGCTAACGAAGACATACATACCCCTCTTAAAGAGCCATGTACATGCAATGAAAGGGTGCTCGGAATGGGTTACTTTAACTGCCATACTATAATAATGGTAGGTAGTAAATCGGGAGTAAGCCTTAATGGTCATCGTAATAGTGGGTGAGTATACAGGGCTTAGATAAACCCATAGCCCAAGTTCTATATTGTTCCGATATATAGTAAAATAAAAACAAGCTACAACCCTTTGTCTTTTGCTTGTGCATATGACCTTTGTGCTTATTTGTTGTTTTTTCTTTTGGGGATTTTGGAGAGTGGCGCTGCACTGTTCAGGGAGGGACTTTAGTTTGGCAATGTGTGGGTTAGCTAAGTGAAAGATTTAGCCCTATGATAGTTGATATTAGAGCATGTTTGTACTGTAATAAGGATAGGTGGCATTA